AGGGCCAGTTCACCATCACAGATATGTCAGGAACAGAGGTGGATGGAGATATCTTTGATGAGGTTGTCAAGTCGGGTGTCCTGACCTTCAAGGTCCCTTTCCCAGTAATGGGTAAGGATGTGAAGGCAGGGGTTTGATGAGGTATCACAGACAGCGTCAAGTAGAAAGCACAGTGTTTTGTTGGAAATATATTTTTCTATAGGCATATTTTCTGATCCTCTTTATAAATATATATATTCAACCTATGCTATAATTTGATATACTACTGATCATTGTCTTAAATACATATGATCTATCACTGGGTAGTAATTAAGGAAGAATATAATATGCTTAGTACTTTTTAAATGCTTTATTTAAGATTGAGATTGTTTTGTTACTGATAGGTACATGTAAATTGTCTTTGTTCTGTCTGCCATTTTGTAGATCTGGATGTTGAGCTGGTTGCAGATCAAGCATCCTCCTCTGTATTGACATCGCTGTCCCCAACTTCATCCCATTCATCCTTGGTAGTGGCACAGACTGCACTATCCCCAGCTTTATCCCATTCATCTGATTCCACCGTTATTCTGGAGTCCACAAGAAAAAGGAGGAACCCAACAGGGTTAATGGACCAGAATGAAGCAAAACAGGTAGAGCTTTGAATAAATACATTTGAAATCCTAAATTAATTAGTTTTTTTTCTAAATGTATTCGCAGTATAAAGTAATGTCATTAGAAAAGTTAAATTCTTTAAAAAACCCACTAAATTACCGTAAGCATGCCATAACAATGTAATATTTATTGGCAGATGGTTGAGGGTGTTCTGAGGGCCAATCCAAAGGGTGAAGAAGTCTTCAATGAGTATGATAAGATATGATAGAGCTACATGGGTAAGAATTGCAGGTCACTTGGTTATGTCATGTCATGTGTTGTAGCTAAATAATGCTGTTCTGTATAAGTGGTAAGGGTGCATTTATTCTTACAAAACATACATGCTTAAAAGTAAACTATGACTTATTTTTAAAGGAGGGTTCCACCGTCAAGTGTAAGGACCAATTCTGCACTGGGAATTGTGACTCTTTTTCCATACCTCCGTGATCCATTCTCCAAACTTGGATATGTAAGTTCTATCTGAAAACCAAATCAGTGTGATTTCAATATCTTCTTCACCTTTCTGGTTTGTACTTATCTTGTTTCAGATGAGTTTTTGTAGGTTGCTCACCCACACAAAATGTTTTGCAGTCTATTCACTGTCTACAATTTTTGTGTTGAGTAACTTATTCTTAAATTGAAGCATGAGATGCCTCTGTTTGTGTCTTTCTTTAAAAAGGAACACTACTATGATCCTGAGGGTAATACTGGCTACATTTTTTATGCCTTTAGGATGGGACAGTGATATGTCTTCAATCCTTTTGCTGCTGCATCTACTCCCTCCAACTTCAAGGGGCCAGAAAAAAACTGCCAAAATCAGTTCAGCTCAAGCAATCAGCCATCTTGTTAGATATCTTAAGGTATGCAAAAGTTCCTACACCAAGAATCCCTGAATAGATGTTGGGATTCTGAGACAGTTTTGCTCTGTATATCTGCAGAAATGTGATCAAGATGTTATAGTAATTTATGTCTCTTAACTGACCTACAGGAAGGAGCCACTATTCCTACCTTCCTTGAGAGTGTCGACGCAAACAACCGTTCCTCCTTTGCATCGGTGAGCAAAAGAAGAATATCCAAAGGATCTACCTTATTATCGACCGAAAACCACTCCCGTGCAAGGCACACACATCAGTGGCAGCTTTAGACATTACATTTGGACGCCTGTTCTAATGTTACAAGTACAAGGTGGGTCAGATATTACGGTACTGAGTACCAGGTTGGGTTGTACTTATGCACTGGATGTACCGATGATCTTCCTGTGTTCAAAAAGATCGGTGATATTATAATACATGAACAGCACGCTTTCATAATATCCTGTAATGTAAAAACAATGTACGATGATGACCACTTTAGTGCATACTGTATAGAAGACCAAATTAATGTGTTTTCTGTCATATCTGTGAAGGCACTGACTTATTTTAGACCATTTGACAAGCAATGCTCTAATGACAATAGTCAAAGAGCGAACATAGTGCCTTATTGTTACATTTAGATAAATGTACAGCAATGAAAAAAGATTTGGTAATGTTGATGCATTTGAAGAAATAAAAATGTTAAAGTAGTGAACTTGTCATTTGTATTTCTAATTATTGACATTTCATTTAAAGATTTTTTTTTGGTGTGGGGGGGCGGGGCGGGGCAGCAATAACACTTTATAGTGTTAATGGGGCAACTCCTTTTATAGTATGCACATCACACTATAAGAGTTAATTAATGACTCCGATGAGTATTAATTTCTAACACTACCCACTGGTGTTGAGAAATTAACGCTTGAGTATTGTTAAATTTCAACTATATAAGTGTTAAAATTAACTCTATAACAGTGTTAAAATGGCAACACTTTAAAAAGTGTTACATTGACACTGCGTAGTGTGGACCCCATGGGACACTTTAAAAGTGTTGAAATTAACTCCAATAGTGTTAATTTGAGTCTGTCCATTTTGCTGTGTAGACATCACGTGACTTTTAGGTAGAGTCTCTCAGTGGTAAGAACACACACACACAGCAAATATCTAATCCTGCATCTTATAAATTGAGGTTAAACGCAATTGAAAATGGAAATTAAGGGGGGCTTAAAGAAATAAACAATAGCCCTTACTGTATAAGATGGCTGGGTTATGTTATCACATGAACTAAATCTAAAATAAATGTTAAATGTAAAATAACATAAATAGTGCAATATCATAGATCAATATCTAAATAGCTTGATAACAGCTCTTACCAAAGAGTTATTGCAGTAAAATATCAGATTAAATCACTTTATTAATCTTTTAAAGGTTTTTATTTTGAAGTTACATCCACACTTGTCCATCCATTGTCAAACTGCTTATCCTGCACACAGGGTCGCGGGGGGGCTGGAGTCCATCCCAGCCAACTTCGGGCGATAGACAGGGTACATCCTGGATTGGTCGCCAGCCAATCGCAGGGCCACACAGAGACAGACAACCATTCACACTCACATTCACACACCTACGGGCAATTTAAAGTCCCCAATTAACCTGATCCCCAGAGCATGTCTTTTAACTGTGGGAGGAAGCCGGAGAACCCACGCAGACACGGGGAGAACATGCAGACTCCACACAGAAAGGCCACTGGGCGGAATCGAACCCAAGACCTTCTTGCTGTGAGGCAACAGTGCTAACCACCGCGCCACCTTGCCGCCCCACACACTAGTACTATTAAAAAAAACGTAAATCCAATAGCTGTTATTTTCACATGGTTATAGAATCTGTTTACTTCCATTCTCCATCTTTAACATACTACTAAATAAAAGGGACACTTTTTTATTGTGAGTTAATGCTTAATGTAATAACATTGTATTTTCCTTATCCATTCGTTATTTTTGATTAGATAGTCTGGCATTCATGAATTCAAATGTTGCAAAGGATAAAGGTATCCGCTGTTTGCTTCCGATTTTTCCTGTTTTTAAAAAATTGGAGCTGAGATTGCGGTGTAGAAAGGAGGGTGACAGCACAGCTGATGGAGCTTATGCAGTCACAGCACACAGATGGTTTCTCTGGCAGCCACCTGAGTCCAGATTTTCTTAAACCTCCCGATTCTCGTATCCCTGGTCTGCTTCAGGTCAGTTCATTTGGATTTTGGCTCCCACAAGTCTCCATTTACAGACACGTTACTTTGGCACAGAGCACACGTTGTAGAGGATGGGTTGGTTGTGGCACAATGTGTGGTGCAGAGATGGAGGGTGTTAACTGCTGACAATAGTGGGGTATTGTGTGTACAGAGAATCCTGCAATCGGTTAACGGTTTAGATCAGAAGTCATCTGATTAAATATTATATTTAATTCCGCTTTAACACGGTAACTTTTTAATTGTTTGTTAAAGGTATACTCCCACAATCTCTGTGTGTATGATTTCTTTTTAGAGTGAAGTATTTTAAATGAAAACGTAAAAACAATTGAAAAACACTGCTTCCCAACAAGTCTCAGTTCAACTCAGTTCAAAAGATATTTCAATGTTTGTTCAACGCCCCCAGTGGCAAAAACCAGTCATTGCAGGTTTGCGGCTTAGCTTGCATGGAGGCTAGATGCAGGTAGTGGCACGAGTCCAGGAAAAACTCATAACCCCGGCACGACCTCAACTTGTTGTCTGTATACTTGCACAAGTGCTGGCACACTTCACTTTTCAACGGAGCCAGGTGTCTCTCCTTATTTCCAGTGTTCCTGATAAGCTAAGCCTCCTCAGACTATAGATTGATTTGATAACAGGTACATAAGTGATGGTGATCTTTTTATCCCAGACACAGCGCCAATCAAGACATTTCCCCAAACGGCAAACCCATTTCTGTGAATAATTTCTGCTTGGCACAATCATAAAAAAATGTACAGTTCTGCTTTTTAATGAAAGTAAACTCACAAGTCGTCTGTCGCGACGAGCTATAGTAGTTTGAGTGAGGAAGAGAACTTCCTTTAGAGTAGGGCTTACTGCTACAAGGGCGAGTCGTATTATGCCTATTTCTTAAGTCGTGCGTTTTATGTTTTCGCCAGCAGCGGAACTACTTTATAGTGACTGTGTATCTCATCGTTATTAGCGAGTAAGTTCTAATATCGATCATATTCCTTAAGGTTTTTTAGCTGACTCGTATTTGTTCGGTACACACAGTATTGCTTATCTTCCTCCAATATCTAACGCGGATGATGGTGAAGTAGGTTGTTAAGACAATACATTCGTGATACTCATTCTAACACTTTATTGAGTTAAGGAACCTTTTGATTAAGTTCTCACCCAGGACCTACGTATATGTTTGACCTGTAACCCCTCTGTCGAGTGAGCTCGTCCTTACATACCGATTAGGTCCCTAATGCCCTTGGGGGATGACTGGTACCTCTATTTATCAAGATAAGGGCACTCACCGGTGTCTGCAGGTTTCGAAGCGGTGTTCTTGTCATTCAGCCCCTTGGAGGAGGCCCCTCAGTGGAAAGGAATCCCCCGGAAACAAATGGTCTTTTGTTCCCCAAAAAGGAGAATTTTTATTTATATAAAAAAGCGAAAAGGTTTACGAAAATTGAATAGAAAACAATAAAAGCAGTTATATATTTCAAACCCTAAAGGTTAAAAAAGCTAGATTCCCCGTCTTCGTGTGTGAGCAAGAAACAAGAAGTAAGCACGCTTTGTGTTTAGACATGTTGGCTTATATACCTTTTTTTTTGCAGAAGCAATGTGCGTCACCGGGGTTTATCTTGCGTCGATCACAGTTTCGGTTCCGAAACTCAATCAAAGCAGGTGCGTGCGTTATTTGCGCTATAAGCGGCTTTCAAGAAGACATTTTCACACCTTAAAGCAGGATCGTGGAACGGCTTCACGCTTCAAGGCACTATTTGCGCTACTAAGTCATCTACGGTCATCTCTATACAGGAAAACAGCTTTACATATCAAACGGAAACATCTTTATCTTGTATTCTGGTGTTACTAGTGGTAGTTTTGGTGCGGGACTCTTGATGCACAAAGCAAAGCATTATGGTTTTGTAAGCATTTTTGTTTTACACAGTATACGGCTATACAACATGTCACATAACGGTTTCTTTTCTTCAAGAGCAGTCAATCTAGCTGCAGTATGACTTTTTTCTGGAGTAACACTGGAGAGAAGGAGTCTGTATGTGTGCCTTCATTAACTTGTCTTTGCTTGTTGATGTGTGCTTTTATTGTGCTGTGATGTGTGTGCGTCTACATATGTGTGCACGTGCCCGTGTTCAGTGTGTGTACGCGCCTGGTTGTGTGGGTTGCGCGGGCATCTTGGTTGTAACATCCATTTTCAATCACTTATTTAATTCACATGAGCTATATTTAAGGAGATCATAAATAAAATACCAGGCTTCCTTTCATCAATGCATAAATCATGGCTGTTATCTTCTTACATTTATATTCTCTGCCCTCCTTTCCCCCTGCACACAGTGCAGTGCTCTGCCTCCAGTCTTTATCACATTGGTTTATCACAGTGGAAAGGATGTGTGATGTATTATAATATGTTTACATGCACAATGATGCCCTTCAGTTGTTCTGTCTACTCAGCTGTTCACACATTGAGTTGGCTGCCGTAGATACTGTTACTAAAAACCCCATGATAAGAAACCCTGAACATGATTTAAGATTGAATACATTTAATGTCCCGAGGAAAGAATTCAGTGTGCCAGAACAGAAAATTGTGCAAATCAGTAAAAACCACATCAGCAGAAAGGGAAATCACCCTCTAACACGTAACCGCTGAAGGAGAATCTCCCCCATTTCAAGAATACATGTCACATCTGTGGCCATAATGCAGTGTTTTTCTTATTCTCATTTCCCAAATTACAGACCCTGATTAAAAAACAAAAAACGGACCACATTTATATCCCACTCACTGCTCAATTTGCTATCTTGCATAGACATCTGTTCAGATTTGGTGCCTTTACCCATCAGTTCGAAGGAAAACATTCATCAACAACTTAACTTAATGCCAGCAAAGGAACGGAGGAGAAAAGAGTTTTTTACATTTGTCTAAACATTTGAAGCACTACATTCAATCTAATACAACATTCAATCTGCTGGCTGCCACAGCAGCATTGTGGGCCAAACACCTGTGGAAACGTGGGTTTTACCTTCAACAGTATAATGCAAAAGAATCTGTATTCTTCTTAAAGGGACAGCTCATCCCAAAATAATGAATACATATCCTCCTCGTACCTGTACTACTGTTTATCAATTAGTATCTCTACTGCTTGTTTTACTACCTAATTATGGCAATATAATCTAGATTGACAATGCTACAGGTAAGAGAGTAAATTTGCATTTTGGAATTGGGGGGGTGAACTGTGCCTTTAATAATGCCTTTGCAATTATTGATGTATGTCAATATAACATGCAGTATATATAGGACATTGTAAAGACAAGAGACATTTCTGACAAAAAACAACAAAAAATTTGACTTGAGATTAGTTATTTTGGCAAATAACAAAAAAATAACAAATACCTATCAAATGTGGTTGTATAGTATGTGTTTTTGTTGTCATTGCCCATTTTGAGCAGATTTAACAGAGTCCATCCTGCGGCTGTTGGAGATCAGTCTCATTCAAAATGTAAAATCTTCCCCCAGAGGGGACCAGAAGGCTGCGCTTAGTAAGACTGCGTTCGGGGATTCTAGACGCCGCTCGCCTTCTGCGGTGCCTTTTATTCAGACTTTTGATGCCCATCAGATGGAACAGAACGCGCGAGAACGGGTTTCTTGCGGATGACTAAAACAATATTGCGAGGAAAGAGAATTATCGAGATCCTTTATGTTTGTTCTCAAAGCACTTTCGACTGTGTTGAAGTGTGACGACAACATCTGACTCACCATAGTTCCCTGGGCCTTCCAGAATGCATTTAAAGATCCCCTTTGTCCCGCAGCGCGATAGTCGAGTAGCTTGGGGGGAGGGGGGACGTGCTGATTGTCAGTGATTCAGGAAACCCACCTGTGTTTCGGAGCCTTTCTCATTTAGTAGCTGTGTCTGACGAGGCAGGTGAGGGATGTGCACGTGGCCACTGGACTGATTGTAAAAATGCAATGAAATAATTACATTTTATTGAGGCTAAACGTCGATGACTTTCAGCGTTATTTCAAGAAAGACAGAAGAAAAACACAGCATGATTACGTAACAACTCATATACCTCTACCTTTCAGTGGCATTTAATACAAACAATTAAGATTACTCATGCCTTAAAGTGAGAATACATGAGCTCTGACAGAAATCTCCTTCCTGGGATACAGTACAATACAGTTTAAGTAAATCAACGTTTCTTGCTCCACTCAATATACTTTGGAGTTTAGCGCTTTACAGCATCAGCTGTTGCATATGGTGGCTAATTTTAGCCTGTTAACAAACAGCTATTTGAGTCTCTTTTCTGCCCCTTTCTCTCTCTGTGTATTGATCTCCTCCACTCAGCTTATGTTTCGTAAACCCAGGAAGCGCTTCTTGTGTATAAGCGAAGCCATAGTCGTGTGTTTCTTGACCACTTATGTCAGAGCTTGCTGACTTTGACTTCTCTCCTTTAATTTATTTCCGCAAATGTTCCCTGTGTTGTATGGCCGGATACTGTGTAAAACAAAAAATGCTTACAAAAGCGTCAGAGAGTCCTGCACCTAAACTAGTACTAGTGGTGTTACCACTAGTAACACCAGAATACAAGATAAATATGTTTCCATTTGATACGCAAAGCTCTTTCCCTGTATAGAGATGGCCGTAGATAACGCAAATAGTGCCTTGACCGTTCCATGAACCTGCCTTGAAGTATGAAGCAGTCTTTCGGTTCTGCTTTAAGGTGTGAAAATGTCTTCCTGAAAGACGCCAAGTAGCGCAAATAATGCACGGTTCCGCTTTAAGGTGTGAAAATGTCTCCCTGAAAGACGCTTAGTAGCGCAAATATTGCACGGTTCTGCTTTAAGGTGTGAAAATGTCTTCCTGAAAGGCGCTTAGTAGCGCAAATAATGCACGGTTCTGCTTTAAGGTGTGAAAATGTCTTCCTGAAAGACGCCAAGTAGCGCAAATAATGCACGGTTCTGCTTTAAGGTGTGAAAATGTCTTCCTGAAAGACTCTTAGTAGCGCAAATGACGCACGAACATTGTTACGGTCCTTTTGTAGATTCCAGGACAGTAACACGACAATCAACGACAGGCGACAGAGTCAGGGTAAAAGGGGTCTTTCTGGTTTTTATTATTACACACAAAGATGGCTCCCAACAGGAGTGAGGGAGATGGTGGAAGATGGGACCTACAGGTTGTGCCAAACAAATGAAATGAATATAACAAAACGAGGCCTAGCTCACCACTGGCTCTTCATCCAAAACAAGTCAAACAAAATACCTTACCTGCTTCTCTAAAAAAGGACTAAAGGAAAACGTTACACAGGAGGCAACAACCACTACACCTGGTGTATCTATACAAAGGTATACCTACGTGCAAAAATGTACAGGGTACCCCAACTTACTAAGGTCCTCAACCTCCACCTTACAAAACTCCAGTTTTGCTACCAGGCAGCACAAACTCACGGACAGGAAGACTGGCCACCAGCCCGCAGCGCAGAACACACCCCCCTTTCACTTCTTGTTCTTGTTCTTCTTTTTCGTTTACTGGCAGATCGCACCAACTTAAAGGTGCATATACCGCCACCTACTGCACTGGAGTGTGAGGCCGGTCACGGCCTCCCTTCTATATCCTGCTGTACAGCCCCGTGTTCCTAAGAAAAAGAAATACTGCCTTCATTACTGCCTCCTTCCCTTTTCCACCCCCAAGCACCCCACCTATGTCCCAGCCCCGCTTTGTCTCCCTGACACTACCATACAACACCACCCTCTGCTTATCATACCTCCCACAGACAAACCGTACATGCTCAACTGTTTCCACCACCTCACATCTATCACACAAACCTGTGTCATGTTTTGCCACCACTCTCAGCCACTCACCACTCTCATTCCCCCAACCTCCTTCACTGACCTATTTATACCCCGGAAGTGCCTCCCTTTACCACCTTCACCCCACTGTCTCTCCCACTCCGCAATCCCTGCTTCCCGTATCGACTTAACCTCCCTGCGCCCTAACGACACCCTTACATCCACCTCAGTCCTCTTTACAGCACTCTTTGCCACCATGTCAGCCACCTCATTACCCTCCACTCCAGCATGCACACGAACCCAGCAGAACCTCACCTCTACTCCCTGTCTCTCCAACCCCAGCAATATCCCCATCAATTCTCCCAATAGGTCTTCCCTGTCAGACCTACCATCCATAACACTGCTTAACACTGCTGCTGAGTCTGATCATATCATCACTCTACATGGTGTCACATCCTCCACCCATCTCAACCCAATGATCATAGCCACCATCTCTGCTGTATACACCGACACATTATCAGTGACTCTTTGACAGATACTCACACTGAACTCAGGAACATGCACTCCTGCACCCACTCTACCACCATTCACTACCTTAGATCCATCAGTGTACACCCTTACAAAACCATAAAACCGTTTACAGACATACTTCTCCACACACACACTCACGTCCCCCTTGCCCCACTCCCTCCTCCATCATGCCTACATCCACTCTTGGCATCGGGAACATCCACAGAGGGATGGGCCCCAATGAAATCGCTGGCCCTATCTCTATCCCCTCCAAGCCATACTCTATCACTTTCTGCCCAATTGTCCACCCATACATCCTCAAACTACTCTTGTCCCTCTCCCAACATTCCCTAGTTGCCACAACCGCCGTGTGGCTTTCAGCACACCCCTTCAGCCTGCCCCAATATGCCAGCGCCAACTTGTCCCTCCTCAAGCTCAGTGGCAATTCCCCTGTATCCACCTGCAACACCACTACCGGAGTGGTCCTGATAGCCCCCACACACAGCCTCAGTGCTCGTGATTGCACCCTGTCCAATCGCTGTATCACAGTCTTGGCCGCAGCTCCATAAATAAAACACCCATAGTCTATTGTGGATCTAACTAGTGCCTGATACATACACAACAGTGTCCTCCTATCTTCCCCCCAGTCTACACCTGCCACA